ATGATAGAATCTTCCCAATAGTTCTGGTTATTGGAGGATACAGTAGACTTACTCAACTTGTTCGGTGGTACTTTGAGAGGAGAAAGCTTTTCAGACGAGCTGCCACCACATGGAGCAGCCATGTAATGGCAGCACTTAAGTGTAGGCAAGGGTCTAAAATACCACCTCTACCCTGCACACACACACAAACGTGACTCTTCTCAGCCATCTTGGGCCATGGAGAGCTGAAACATCCTTACACACACTGGTGTAGCCTAGACAGTAGCTAGAAGTCGAGAACCAGTGTGTCTCCAAAAGCTGTCATGATACGGAATGAGGGGACCTGTGGCAGAGGCTAAGATCAGAGCCCAGGGCCAGAGGGAAGACATGGCTGAGTCTAAGATCAGCAGGACTGGTAAGACTGGGGAAGACTGTCAGCTTTCTTGCCAAAAGAACAGTCATGTATGGTGCATGGTAATATAAGAGATGTTCAGTTGCATCAGTAGTGGGAATCAGCAAGACAACCCTTTCCCAAAGTCAAGATGAGCTATAAGCCTCACGAATCTAGAAAAAGGGCTAGTCTGAGTCCAGTGGTGTTTTACAACCAGTTATAGATTTATTTGTAGTAGAATTACCATTAATTAAGCTAAATGTTGGCTCTTTGGAAATATTAATATAACAGGTAAAACTCTGGCATGTAAGACAAAACAAAAAAGACAAAAGGCACAAGCAGAACTCTAGTGAAGAAAAAGGAACAAAAATGGATAGCTGAGAGGCAATTTAAAAATGGAAAGAAAATGTGGGCAAAATTATGTTCTAGGGACTTACGTAATACTAAAACTTAGTGAGATACAAAAGATTGCATAGACTACAAATCATTGTAGATAAAATCCTTAGACTTATAACTTTGGGACAGCGACCTGGTTTCTCTAAGTCTGTCTTCTCTCCCATATAATGAGAAAAATGGAACTTTCTGGCGTTCAATTGAGGCATATGAATAGAACACTTAGGACAGGGCCTGCCATGTAACAGTTCATCACTAAACGTTAGCTTTTATCATTTTTGTTGCAAGAATTTCCATTACAACCTTGCAATAGTGAAAAATTAGAAAACCATTAATATTTGTCAATAAGGGAATGATTAAAGTGTGGAGGATCCACAGTATAGGACTGTATAGCATGAAGTTAAGAATGAGGGCATTCTATTTGCACCATAAGCAAGGTCTTCTAGATGCATTGTTTCATGAAAAAAGAAAACTGCAGAATAATATATACATAGAATGATACTGTTTATGTTTCAAAACCAGAGCAAGAGAGCAAGACAGAAATTGAACCGATAATGGGGATGGTGGTGGAGGTTGATTTGGGTGGAAAAGAGAATTTTATCTTTAACTCTAAATTGTTACAATAAAAATGGTGGATATAGTAAATAGGAAAAGAACTGAAAAGTTTTTAAGCCACTTATTTTAAATAACTAGGATCTTGAAGTTTCTCCGAGTCTGCAGGGGCATTCGACAACACCTCCTTAACATCTCTTTCAGATCCTCCCCTGGGCCGGGTGTGATGACTCATGCCTGCAATCCCAGCACTTTGGGAGGCTGAGGTGGGCAGATCACTTGAGGCCAGGAGTTTGAGACCAGCCTGGCCAACATGGCGAAACCCAGTCTCTAGTAAAGAAAATACAAAACAATTAGCTGGGTGTGGTGGCGGGCGCCTGCAATCCTGGCTACTCAAGAAACTGAGGCAGGAGAATCACTTGAACTGGGGAGGCGGAGGTTGTAGTGAGTGGAGATCAGGCCACTGCACTCCAGACTGGGCAATAGAGTGAGACACTGTCTTAAAGAAGAAATTCCTCCACTGTTTCTCAAGCTTCCTGTCTACCCACTGTGCTACTGCTAGTCAAACTCTTCCTTCTCCTTTTCTGGTTTTTTTTAAATTTATTTTTATTTTTTTTTTGCTTCCAGTCCAGTTGCTGAAGGGGTTTCTGATAGGTTTGGGCATAGTAAATATAAACAAAAAATATTATATGGCTTTTTGAGCAGTTATAACAGGTCATTTCATTTCTTTTCTTTTTTTCTTTTAAGAAAGAAAAGAAAGAAGGAAGGAAGGAAATAAAGACATAAAAATAGAAAGAAAGAAAAAAAAGAAAAGAAAGAAGGAGGAAGAGAAAGAGGGAGAGAGAACGGGAGTCTTGCTCTATTGCCCAGTCTAGAATGCAGTCTGAAAATGGTCATTAAAAACCTCTTTTATGCCGATAATTGTGCTTGATAATGGAGACAGGAAGGAATAACGGAGGAAGATAACAAACAAGCAGCCAACCAATATTTCATTTAAACCTGTGAAATGCTATGCATTTGCTCAGGAGTAATTTACTTCCACTTACGTGGTCACTTATAGAGTAGGTGTGATGTGGTGCTGAGAAGAATGTATATTCTGTGGATTTGGGATGGAGAGTTCTGTAAATGTCTATCAGGTTTGCTTGTTCCAGGTCTGAGTTCAAGTCCTGGATATCCTTGTTAATTTTCTGTCTGGTTGATCTGTCTAATATTGACGATGGAGTGTTAAAGTCTCCCACTATTATTGTGTGGGAGTCTAAGTCTCTTTGTAAGTCATTAAGAACTTGTCTTATGTATCTGGGTGCTCCTGTATTGGGTCCATATATATTTAGGATCATTAGCTCTTCTTCTTGTATCAATCCTTTTACCATTATGTAATGTCCTTCTTTGTCTCTTTTGATCTTTGTTGCTTTAAAGCCTATTTTATCAGAGACGAGAATTACAGCTCCTGCTTTTTTTTTTTTTACTCTCCATTTGGTTAGTAAATCTTCCTCCATCCCTTTATTTTGAGACTTTGTATATCCTTGCATGTGAGATAGGTCTGGATACAGCATACCAATGGGTTTTGGCTTTTTATCCAAGTTGCCTATCTGTGTCTTTTGATTGGGGCATTTAGTCCATTTAAATTTAGGGTTAATATTGATATGTGTGAATTTGATACTGTCATTTAATGCTAGCTGGCTGTTTTGCTCATTAGTTGACACAGATTCTTCATTATGTTGGTGCTCTTTACCTTTTGGTATGTTTTTAGAATGGCTGATACTGGTTGTTCCTTTCTATATGTAGGACTTCTTTAAGAAGGTCTTGTAAAGCAGGTCTGGTGGTGATGAAATCTCTGAGTACTTGCTTGTTGACAAAAAAATTTATTTTTCCTTGGCTTATGAAGCTTAGTTTGGCTGGATATGAAATCCTGGGTTGAAAGTTCTTTTCTTTAAGGATGTTGAATATTGGCCCTCACTCTCTTCTGGCTTGTAGAGTTTCTGCTGAGAGATCTGCTGTGAGTCTGATGGGCTTTCCTTTATGGGTAACCCGACTTTTCTCTCTGGCTGCCCTTAGCATTTTCTCCTTCATTTCAACCCTGGTGAATCTGATGATTATGTGCCTTGGGGTTGCTCTTCTTGAGGAATATCTTTGTGGTGTTCTCTGTATTTCCTGGAGTTGAATATTGGCCTGCCTTGCTAGGTTGGGAAAGTTTTCCTGAATAATATACTGAAGATTATTTTCTAACTTGGATTCATTCTCTTCGTCACATTCAGGTACACCTATCAAATGTAGATTAGGTCTTTTCACATAGTCCCATATTTCTTGGAGACTTTGTTCATTCCTTTTTACCCTTTTTTCTCTAATCTTGTCTTCTCATTTTATTTCATTGAGTTTATCTTTGACCTCTGATATGCTTTCTTCTGCTTGGTCAATTTGACTGCTAAAACTTGTGCATGCTTCATGAAGTTCTCGTGTTGTCTTTTTCAGCTCCATCAATTCACTTATATTCCTCTCTAAATTGACTATTCTCATTAGCATTTCATCAAATCTTTTTTCAAGGTTTGTAGTTTCTTTGCATTGGGTTAGAATATGTTCTTTTAGCTCACAGAAGTTTCTTATTATCCACCTTCTGAAGCCTGATTCTGTCAATTCATCACACTCATTCTCCATCAGGCCTTGTTTCCTTGCTGATGAGGAGTTGTGATCCCTTGTAGAAGGAGAGGCATTCTGATTTCAGGTATTTTAAGCCTTTTTGCACTGGTTGCTTCCCATCTTTGTGAATTTATCCACCTGTCGTCTTTATAGTTGCTGACTTTCAAATTGGGTCTCTGAGTGGACGTCCAGTTTGTTGGTGATGAAGTCATTTCTGTTTCTTAGTTTGCCTTAGGCAGACGCTCCTCCCCCACAGAGCTGGACCTTCCTGGGTTCAGCTGTGTTTGCTGTAAAACTCTCAACCCACAGCATTTCCAATTGCTGATTTTTGTGAGGGTGGGACCAGCCCAGCCTGATCACCTGGCTCTCTGCCTCAGAGCCCTTTTTTTTTTTAAAGGCACTGGGATCTATGTAATTTCCCGTGCAGTGACCCACTGCACCAGCTGAAACAGCAGCGCTGAGATTTGTGGCACTTTTAGCCTGGGAATCCTCTGGCCTGGCTCCCTGTTTCAGTCCCCTCTTCAATCAGCTAAATTGGTAACTCTGCCCTCCCAGAACTCCAAATGCAAACCAAAGGGGCACAGCATGCCGGCAAAACAGCCATGCCGGCCAAAAGATTCATGCTTGTGACCCATGGGGCTCCTCCACCTGGGAATCTCCTGGTCCGTGGGCAACAAAAATCCATCTGGAAATGTGGCATCCACTCACTCTCTGTGCTTTCACTGGGAGCTGCAATCCTGAGCTGCTCCTAGTCGGCCATCTTGGATCCCTCTCCTCTCCTTCTTTTCAAATGACTTCCCTGCCTTCAGTTGCTGTCTTTTCATTTTTCCTAAATTTAAAAGTAGAATCTAACTCACACATTCAGAAAACACAGAAACGAATCTAACCTACTATGTATCTGTCACTACCATGAACACTTAGTCATTTTTACTTCAGGTCTAATTTTTTTATTTAACAAGAAATAAGGGAGGATAGATGGAAATTAATAGTGCTTTGGAAAGCCAAAAGCCAAAATTGTTAAAATGAAAATGCCAGTGAGCCAGATTTGCCCTCACACCTCCTGGGGTGCAGCCCTCCATCTGAGCCCCCTTTTCAGGGCACCCTTGACTTCTTTGTTCCAAAGGCTGTAGATGAAAGGATTCAAGGTCAGTGTGATGACCACACAGACAGTCATAGCAGGCAGTCATAGCAGGCCGAGTAGGCAGACAATGGCCAGAAATACACGGAGAGGACAGAGCCAAAGAAAAGTGCCACCGCCACCAGATGGACCTCACAGGTGGATAAGGCACGGAGCTGACCCCCAGCGGAGCGCACGCCCAAGCACCGCAACCAGGATGTGCACATATGAGAGAGTCATGAGGAGCAGTGGGGCCACCACCATGGCCAAGCCCTCGGAAAAGATGGCCATCTCCGCAGCAAAGGTGTCCGAGGTCACCAAGCTCAGCATCACCGCCATGTCATAGAAGAAGTGGTGCATGGGGCAGCACAGGGGTAGGAGAGCATGGAGAGGAACAGTGTGTGCAGCAGCAAATGCAGGTGTGCCACGACCCAGGACGCATGCACCAGCGTGGTGCAGTGTCATGGCATCATCAGCATGACATAGCGGAGGGGTTGACACACCACTGCTGCACTGTCATAAGACATGGCCACCAGGAGGTAGCTCTCAGTGATGCCCAGAGCCATGAAGAGGTACATCTGGGCAAAGCACGCCTGGAAGGACACAGCCTGGCCCAGATGGGGCAGGATGGCCGGCAGCCTGGGGACTGTGACAGTGGCAAAGCAGAAGTCCACAAGGCTCAGGTGACCCAAGAAGTAATACATGGGGGCCTGGAGGGCCCTGCCAGACCTCACCAGCACCACCATGCTCAGGTTTCCCAGGGCGTTGAGAAGGTAGACACCAAGGAAGAGCAGGAACAGCAGCAGGTGGGCGTCTGTTCCATCCACCAGGCCGAGGAGGAGGAACACTGGGGCAGAGGTGAGGTTGGTCGATACCATGGAGTGTACCAACAGGTGGGACTGCTGAGGGGAGAGAGGAGGCAGCCGGCCAAAATTCTGGAACTCTGGATAGACTTCCTGCATGTTGTGGTTCCACATATACATTTTAATATGTATGTTTCTAGATTTTTATAGATAAATTTCTTCTTGCCAAAATGGATTGAAAAATCATGTTGCTCATCTAATAATTGTAATTTTATGAAGAAACTGAATCTCAGAAGAGTAATCTAGCATAGTGGGTAACTCTCAAGCTTTGGTGTAGGTCAGACCCGCTTTGAATCCTGGCTGGACCACACAGGTATTGCGACCTCTCTGAGCCTCATTAAAGTTTCTTCTTTAATGAGGAAAATATTAATAACTACCCCAGAATTGGTTGTGTTACAAGTAAAATGCTCAGTGCTGCAAAGTGGAACTAACATTTAGGCAAAAGTTTTCTCAGCAAGGCAATTTACTTCTATAGAAGGGCATCTCCTGCATGCAAGGGAGAACACCTAGAACAAAGGAGAACACCAGTTTTTATTCTTAACGCAGACCCTGTTCCTGTATCTTCCCCCATGGGCTGAGTTCAGACTGCACAATCTAGGCTAGTTCTGATTCGCCACTGTTGACATCATCGGGGGGCAAGGGTAGGCTTTTGAGTGATGGGAAATGCTTGGGCGTGTTTAGGCACAGCAGAGATGAAGGCTGAGAGATGAATGGGTAATATTACTTCTTAGAATAGAAAGAAGAACTAGAAACTGAAATCTTTTGAAGAGGAACTATTTGTTCTTAACAGTTGTGAGATACAGTGAATAAGTTTAAAATACTTAGCACAGTGCCTGGTATATTATAAGCACTTGAAACTCCTCTACCTATCTATGTATCTATCTATCTTCTATCAATCTCTACTATCTATCTATCTATCTATCTATCATCTATCTATCTATCTATCTATCTATCTATCTATCTATCTATCATCTATTTTCTTCCATCTATCTATCATCTATCTACTTAATCATCATTTTTTGTTTAAACAAATAGAAGCAGAATTCAGACGCAGTCTAAATTTCTTCATAAAGCACCTTACTGCATTTGCCATATATTTGTTGACTGCACATTATGTGCTTGTTCAGAATTGACAAGCTTTTTTTGGTAAAGAATCATATAGTTAAGATTTAATGCTTATGATCCATATGGTCCTTGTTGCAGCAGCTCAGCTCTGAATTTGTCATGTAAAAGCAGCCATTAAGAAAAAGTACGTGAATGACCACAGCTCTGTTCCAATAAAACTTTATTTACAAAACAGGTGGTAGACTGGCTTTGGGCACTTTTTTTCCTACAATATCTAGCCCTGTACTAGATACTGTAGAATGCAGGAAGGTGAATGAGTCTAAGCTTCTGCCTCTAAATAGTTTGACCTTCAGTAGCTTATAAAATGTTTAGTACTGTATTAATTTTATGAACCAAGTGGGAGTAAATTTTTTTTAGAGAAATTTGGAAAGAATTCAAAGAAGAGGTGAGACTTTAACTGGGTCTCGAAGAATGAATCAGGTTCACCAAGGAGGGCATTCCAAACTGAATGAAGACATTGTGTGGGACTGTTGGCAGAGAAGGCATGGAGTGAAGAGAATAAAACATCCACACATGACACTGGGATGGGCTTGTCCTTGATTTGTCCTCAGTGCACAAAATCAGCTGGATAAAACACTTCTAAATTTCTCAGTTAACCAAGTGACTTCAGTTATCTCAGAAACAAGGCACTCATTTTGTCCCCCATTGAATCTCTCCCTTAAAACACCACATTCTTTTCTACCATTGCTCCAAAGTTTCTAGCAGTGTTCAATTCACCTAGCACACCTACCCTTTGCCAGGAAAGCTCCAGGCTTTGGTGAAATCCTGGAGGATGGACTTAGTTAGGTCTTGGCAGGGAAGCTCCTTGTGAGAAGGAGCCGCATCTCACTGTCTTGTCCAGTGATCTGTACACAATATTTATCCAATACATATTTGTTGAATGAAGCTTTTGGAAGAGGAGTGAGTGAAAACAGAGGAGAATGGAGTGTGAAAGAGAGAGGAGATGGATGAACTGCAGGGATAACTCCTGTCAACTTCTCAGGGCAAGCCCCAGATATGCACAATTTTTTTACATTTTTCTGCTTCTATATCACGGTCACCCAGTAGCTGTCCCAAGGAAATCATCTTCTATGCTCCTTCCAACCCCACCCCTTGCCCCAGTGTGGATTAGTAGCATCAGAGAGCCAAGACCTTGGCACCCTTCCAATCCATTTTCTTCAGGTGCAGGATTCTTCTCAACTGATTCCTAACCCTCACTTCCTGGCCTCTTCTTAGGGAGCTTGTGTGATGCAGCTTTAGAGCCGCCTGGGTATGAATCCTGATTGGCTGTGGAAACCTGGACCCACTTCATTTCCTCTTCACTCTCCTCATCAATAATGCGGATTTTGAGTCCTCTCTTCTATGGTTGATGTCAGGATCAAAGAGGTAATGCATGTACAGGCATGTAGCCGAGAACAGATGCTGATAGATGTCAGTTCCTTCTTCCTCAACTTCTGATGGTTTCTCTCTGTTCCCTGATGGCCTCTTGAGATAGGCCAGTCCAGAGCTGGAGGACTGTAGTTGTTTTAAGTGTTTTTCATAATTTCAGCTGAAGTCTGCTTTCCTGTAACTTCTACAAATGATTCCAATTTTGGCCTCAGAGCCACACATGCCAAGCCTGCTTCCTCTGCAGCTTTTCACATAGTGGTCAAAGGGATCTATTCTATTCTTTTCTTCAACCCAAACATGCCTGGTACCTTAGAGCTTTTCCTGTAGAGCCATATCTTTAGGTCCTTTTCCATTCTGGTCACTCTCTGCTTTATCCATGTTCGCAGGAGTTGGACACAATGCTTAGCCATGGAATGGCTCAGCTGTGCAATTCATGCCCCGTTATTGAGTGCCTGCTGTGAGTCAGGGATTGACTCCGGGTTGGGCTCTAGGGCTCTAGAGAAAGATCAGTCATTGTCCTTGACCTCCAGCTGGGCATGACAGCCTACACTAACTGCACAAACGAAGTGGGGGTGGTTTCCTCCACTAGACAATTTGGAGAAGGTTCCAAAGAATAAGTGGAAATTGAGCTGGGTTTGGAATAATGAGTAGGAGATCACCAGATATACAGATGCTTGGTAATGGAAAGGGCATTTCAGGCAGGGGAAAGAGAATATGAAGGTATAGGAAGATGCTTAGTGGGTTGGTTAGAGCTAAAATATGGCCTCTTCCTCCCTAATACTGTAAGGCAGATAGATGGATGTGGGGTCAGTGAGGAAAACAGGACACAAGGGAAAGAAGATAGCAGAGAAATGTTGGGTTCTTTCACCTGAAAGGCAGCAAGCCAGAACTCAGCACCGTCTACAGAGACTGTTGGCTGGTCTCCCTTGCAGCCAGAGGTAGCCAGTCTTGAAGGCAAATGCACTGTCACCCATCTCAGCCCAGAGACTTCAGTGGGTTTCCTGTGAGCTGAGACAGAAGCCAGATATAGAAAGAAAGTCATAGCTATAATACATCTGGAAATTACTGAGCCATGCTTTTCCCACTCAACTTTACTTTCCTGCCAGTTTCCCTCTTGCCTACTGGATGCAGGGCTGAGCTGTTTGCACTCATGCAGACATCTCATTGCCTGTTAGATATAGTGCCAGTGGCTCAGCTACGGATCCAAAGCTTTCAGCATGGCCCCCGCTTCCCCAGTCTTATCTCCAGTGCCTTTTGCTTACACCTTCCTCACATGCCTTCCCCATACACTCCTCCCCACCTGAAATACTCTTCCTATCCTGTCCCAATACACAGCCCAGCTCCCCTTCCTCCAAAAACGCTACCTCTTTTCTTGACTCCCCAGCCCACATGAGCACCTCGTTCCAGTTTCTTGTACCTCTCATTGGAAACTTGGCCCTCATTTTCTGGTACAAAAGTGAAATTTTCTCTTTTTGCTATTGATTTTTTTCTGTGATGCTTATCTTCCCTGCTAGATCATGAGCCTTCTGAAGACAAATATTTGTCTTTCCTTGTCTGACCTTAGGCTTGGCACAGGGTTTTGTCCTAACTTTCCTTGCAAAGTCAGGGAAGGCTCCACAGAAGGGGTGGCATTTCAGCAGGGCAGGCTTGAAGGACAAGGCGTTCAGTGGACAGATAGGGGTGGGAGAGAATTCTAGAAAGAATTTCTTTCAACGTACAAAGAAAATACAAGAGACAGGAAGCATCTTAACCTCTTTCAGCTTCATAGGTTTTTTTTTCCTCCAAAAGTGGGATAAGAATACCATCCTCACGGTTTGCTTATAAATGCTTTGCAAATAGCAAAATGCAAATGGCATTTATAAATGCTTCATAAATGTCAATTTCCTTCCCCATCTCCTGATGACTTCAGGCAATGGAGAGATGTGTTGATTGAATTTGTATTGGCTCCTGTTGAAACACTTGGCATAGGACTGGGCTGCCTGGATGCTGAGCTGCTGTTGTGGACACAGAGCCCTTTCCTGAGGCCCAGGTAAGGCAGGTGTCTGCTTTGAATTGGGCAGGAATCTTTGATTATTTAAGGTCACAAAATGAGGCAGGGATGCTTAGCTTCCAGAACAATAACAAGAAAAAAACCTGTTTCAGGCAGCTCACTGCCTAAAACTCTGTGCTGAAAGGGTCATTTTTAGAGCACACATTCAGATGCCCCAAGACACGGAAGTGCACAGGGATACATGCTTGCACACAGACACACACAGATGTATCCCAATATGTCCAAACACACAAACATGCCAGAGACACATGCACAGACACACACAGATGTATCCCAATATGTCCAGACACACATGCCAGAGACACATGCACAGACACACACAGATATATTCCAATATGTCCAGACACACAGACATGTCAGAGACACGCACAGACACACACGGATGTATCCCATTATGTCCAGACACACAGACATGCCAGAGACACACACACAGACACCAGGAAAGGAATATATGAATGTGGGCACATAGTCCCTTAAACACAGACATAGACACCTACACAGGTCCATGCACTAGAGAAAAA